CTTTTCAAGTCAATATGAAAGGGAAGTGATGTTTCTAAAGAGTTTTGGTTGTGGGCTGTAGAACTATTTGTGACAAGCAGCCACCTGTATGCCCGAGTAAAACTTGGTATGAGGTTCTAGTGAGCAAAAGTTTCTCACGTGTGTTTGAAGGTCTCTTGTCATGAAAAAAAAACAGTGGAAAACACGTTGCATATGTGGCCTAGCTGTTCTTGAGTACAGCTAGATTTGCCAACTGTAGCTCCCATCCAAAATTCCAGTTTGATCAATTACTGCTGCCAGTTTGACTTAGTAACGTATATGGCTAAAGCAAAAATTTTAATCCTGAGTTAAGACATAACCTTGGTTTTGCTTTTCACCTAATAGTTAACTGTACTTCTAGTGTAAGACAGAAATTGAAAGGGTGATACTGTGTGCCATGTGTAGGGATGGACACTGAAATAATGTATGCTTAATTGTTGTTGGAATGTGTACTTTGAACAGTGCTGTGGAGGAAGTGATAGTAATTGGAATGAGATTGATGTCTTCTGTAATGTAGAAGTCATACAGATGTTCTCCAAAAATTCTGCATTTAGGCATGCAAAAGTATTAAGTGTTTATTTTCACTGGATTCTCTACAGTTGTATCCGAGCGGTGTCCAGATTATGGAACTTCCTATAATAAAGGTTTTCTTGTTTCTCTTTGATTTTTTTCCCCCCCCCACATATATGTTTGGGGTTTTTTTTAAGGTGATTACTTTGGCTATTACAAGTTGCTGATGATGCATTTGTAGAATATAGACTGCTAAAGTAGTGAGAGGTATGCTATCGTATTTCTCAAATTGTATATAACTTTGTTTTCTGTTTTTATTTACTTGATGTTCATGGGAAGTCTGATCTCTCATGATTGCATTGCATAGTCATTTAAGGTAGGACTTGTTTCACTTCACTTTGTCTGTCTAAAAGCTAGGTATCTAGTCCAAGGCTGGGATTTTGTGAACATCTGAGCTCATGATGTGACAATCCTCTGCTCCTGAAAGGCGAAAGCCTTGCTCCTCCTCCTGCCTATTTACTTGTCTCTTTGTTCCTTTCTCCTAGCCAGTACCAGCTGCCTGCTTTCACTGATGATGTAGCTTGTTGGATTTTTCCATGAACTAGCGTGACTCACTGACCTCACAGAAAAACCATTGAGTGTTTTCTGCTTGTTTTAAGTGTGTTGGCTTCTTGAGTTAAATCAGTTCATGGAAGGGTCTGATGAATGACAAATCTAGGAATGGGGATGAAGAGAGGAGGAGTGGAACCTCCCATTCCCGGTGACAGTGAGCTCTTATATTGGATTACACTTTTTCATTAGTTCATTATCCAGTCTTACTGTAGACTGTTAGGCAGGGATGAGAAGGGGTAGTGTTTGGAGAGTCACTTTTGTGAGGCTGTGCTTCCTTTGAGTGTCTCACTTATTCTGTCAGGCAAATAGTTTATTGATTCACAAGACCTTGGCTGATTCAGTTAGGAAAAAAAGATTAAAACATACATTGTGGGAAACAGCTGTTTGGCTTTCATCAGATTTTCCTGAGAATTTTACTGCTTGAACAAAACATGGCACAAGGCTAAATACTGTTAATTTTTTTCATCAATAGTTGCAAAATTACATTCATTGTATCGTCTGACTGTTTAAAATGGTGTTCAAATATGATAAGTTTGTGTGTTCTAAGCGTGGCGGTGGTATGGAAAGTAGAACCATGAGCGAGATGTATATGTCACCCGATTATTACTAATACATGCTGAAATAATGTAATTTGGTTATGCCAGGTAAGCTAGGAGGAAGCCTTGTTGTAAACAACATACAATAAAAAAAAAGTGATATAAATAAATACAGTTATATAGATATCTTCATATTTTTCTCTAAATGCAAATATTGTCACCATTTTAAGTGCTTGTAGCAAACAAAAAGTTAAAATAATACAGCTGAAAAATCTTGTAAGAGAAGAAAAGCCCTTTCGTGATATAAAGGAGAGAGATGTGAGGTAGGTCTTTAAACAATGTTTCAATCTGTATGGAAGTGAACAATTGGAGAAAGGCAAAACAAAGGTGGTTCTTGGAAATGTAATTGAGTTACTTCAGGTAGCTAGATATTCTACAATAAATATTGCTATTTTAGCTACTGAGTGTGCATTTCTTAGCTTTCAGGACTGCACTAATGCCTTTATATGTATATATCTGCACAAAATGATGTTTAAATTTCATAGTATGAATCTGGGGCAACCGATACAAGTGTGCCGTTCTGTAACACGATAAAATTTTGCAATTAATTTTAGATATGATGTGGTTTTATTTTCTTTAAAGTATGTTCTATTGTTCTCTACTTCTTGAACAGATCTCCAAGAGAGGAAGAAATTTTAACTAGTGTTCCCTTAAAGTATTTCTCAAAAATTATGGGCGTAGTCTTGTGTAATTTTGAAAAGTGTTTAAGGTCTACTCATTGACTGTGAGCAAGTACCATAAGCCATTAGCATAGAAGAAATTCTTGTTAGTAATGTGCTTACAATATTTGTAGTCCTGAACAATGTTGACTATTGACAATTCACTGCCAGGAACTATTTTATGATTGGGGGGGAGGGAGGGGAAGGTTTTTATTTGTAAGAATGTGAGTAGGTTAGATATTACAAGTTTCTATTAATGATTTCAAGGTAAGAGCTCTCGTGAAGTAATGAAATCTCTCTTACTGTAGTTTGTTTCACAGTTGTCACCGGGAATGCAAAACTTAAAATTTGCCACTAGATGTCCCTGCAAGCCAAAATAGTTTTGTTTCCTTAAATACATACTGCTTAGCTTTCCACCGTCTGAAACAATTGTTTTGTAAGCTACAATTTTTTTTCCTCTGTTCTTTCCTTTTTTTCTTTTTCTTTAAATCTTCATGCAGATGAATACATGGCCAGGTGTGTGGCTTGCTTTATGTTTTTTGCACTTTTTGATAGTAGCAAAAGCTGTGAGAGGAAATATACTTCCCACCTGCAGGAGCTTGGAATTGAGAGTACAAAAGGCTGCATTTCCATTTATCTTTTTCTTTTGGGTGATATGTTCTCAGAAAACATCCTGGCTTTTTGGTATCTTTGACTTTATATTTGTTATGCCACTTCAGAAATACTTCTTACTCAAGTAAGCTGCAGGATTTAGACCCGACTTTAAATCCTGTGTTCCTAATTCTGAACTGTGGCTTACAGTTTGATAGTTACATTTGTTATCTGCATCTTATGAAAGCAAAGACCTGAGACAGAGAAAAGTACTATTGCCTGGTGGTTGGTTGGTTTGGGTTTTGTTGAGGGTTTTTTGTTTGTTTTTTTTGTTTCTTTTACAGTGATCATGATAACCCTGTTGGTATGCGTGGAAATTCATAGGGATGTGCTGCCTTGGGTTTTCTCTGTGTACCAGAACTTTCCATCCTCTTCCATGTTTATTGTCCTTAGGATCACTGACCAGTTCTCCTCATACAGCTGGTGGTTTAACAATTGAAAATGTCTTTATATTGATTTTGGAAATTGCTTTGTTTCTCAACAACCAACAAAATTCAGGAAAGAAGAACAGATACTGTATTGATTAGAAGGTTCTTCAAAACTTGTGCTATTAACGCTTGAAATTGGTTGTGCATATATAGGACAGTCACTGAGGAGAATGTTCTTTATACTGATTTCTTCCCCCTTATTCTCTCTGCAAATTTGGGTAAAGCAGAATACAAAGTTGCTGTTGCTGCTTTGCCTATACTAGTGGTGTAACTCTGGTAGATTTTCCTCTGACCTTTTCCCATCTTAGTGATGGAGGAAGGAAAAATGGGAAAGAAAACTTAAATGTAAGACTTTCTTGACATTATTATGTGTTTAGTGGAATGGGCACTGACATGCAACGTTTATTTTCCTATATGGAAGATAGATTTTCATCTTGCGTGTAGTTCAAGGGTTTATAAAATCAAATGGTAAGTGTTTAAGATAGATCAATGAAAGATTTGAAGAGTGGAGTGGTAGAAAACATTATATATTCAACTGTATATGTAAACAAGGTGAGGTATTTACAGTGATGGTGGAGATTTAACTTTTTTCCTGTTTGAGTTTTACTTTGTGCAGTTACACTGTGTAACTTTGAATTATACTTTGTACACTGCAACCATGGAGTTCTTAGGCATCAGTCCAGTTATGCTAAAATGGCAGAGTAGTTGGTTTCAAAGTTTTGTAACTTCCCTAACATTGTTACAGTCAGTAATGATCAGCTTAATACATCTTGCTTGTAATATCGAAAGGAACTAATGAGGCATATTAGAATACTTCCCATTTCTCAGCATCTGTCAATTTGCAGCTTTCTCGCACCAATCTGATATTGTCACATTTTGCAAAACTCTTTTTGGAAAGGTCACAAGAAACCACGAGATAAACTTTGAAAATGAGGAAGTGATATGTGTCGGTGATACACTTCAGGGCTGAACTTCGGGCAGGTATCTTCCAGACTGCCCATGAAACCTTAACTCTTCTCCAGAGAGGGCTTGATAGGAATTCAACAGTGAGAATTATCTGCTCTTCTTCCAGCTGAAGTGATGGTGTATTGACTAGTACAACTTGTTAGGCTAGTGTGACTGACTGTGATAAGTAGGAGTAAAAGCTGTATGTGCCTGATGTCTGTGGCCTCTGGTTAACAAGGCATAATTAGGGCATTACTAGCATCATAGTTTGATTCTCAGTGTACAGCACTAAGTAAAAATAACATTCCATGTAATCTGTCAGATAGAAGTGCTTCTGCTTATTTTGTATTGACTCAAATAATCTCCGTGTTTAAGTTTCTTCTTTGCCCCTGGAAGGGCTATTATTTTTCGGGGCAGCCAGAATGAACACAGAAGAGTGTTGCCCTTTCAGTAGAGGTTTCTAACATGACTTACAGGAGAGCCAGGGTTCTTCTATGCTGAAAGCAAAAGTAGAGTGTGAAATATTTGAACTGTGAATGTACTTGATTGCTAATTACATGTCCTTGTGTTTGTTCAGGTGACTCGATCTTCTGGGATGTCAGCAGAAAAAGTGGATGGCATTGTAAATTAGTTAGCAGTTAATTTTTATTTTGTCTTCTCCGTACTCATTGTGAACAGTCATCATAAAATGGATGCTTTGGGCAGTCTCCTTCCTCCTGTGGTTGGAAACGGGGATACGGCTAATGCACAAGAATTACAAAAGCTTCTGATTGATGAAAAAATGCGATGTGAGCACCATAAAGCAAATTATCAAACTATAAAGGCAGAACATCTAAGGTACACTAACTTAAACAGGTTTCTTCCTTTGACCTGTTAAAAGGTGAAGCTAAATGTTAAGTGGAAGTGATTTGTGTGTTAGCTATTTCTGTATTTAAGGACAGATTTGAACGTTGTTCTTATTAGAAAATAAACAATTCAAAATACACTAAGACATTTCAGATTATGTTTTTGCAATACTTTATGCTTGTAAATATGGGATAACTTTTCAGTATATTACAGGAAGAGGATATTAATAGCTTAGTTCTAACTTGGTATTTGCATGCTTGCTTCTGCATGTGAGTTTTTTGAGCTTTAAGATCTAATTTTAGAGGGTAAATATAAAATAAATGTGTGTTTTATCTTGCAGACTACAGGAGGAATATACAAAATCACAAGATGAACTGAAGCGCTTGTTAGTTGAAAAGCATGAAGAACATGACAAATTTCAGTTTCTTCTTGCTGAATATCAAGAGGAATTGCTGGGTAAAACACAAGAGCTGGAAAAACTGAAGATGCAGGTGAGATAATTTACTGGCAGGACTTAACATGAATTTTAATCCTGTAATAGGGCTATGCATATATTTCTGTTTATGTAACATGTATATATAGCTAGCTTGAATATATTTCAGATATCTCACGTAATGTTTCTTCTCTAGAGTGACTATCGGTTGAATTTATTGTTTTCTTGTTTAACTGAATCTTCCAAATCCTGTTGTTGTGTGCTATGTTAATAGTAAGACCCTCAGTCTCTGTCTGTGTGTGCTCTCCTGTTATGGGGAGAATCATCTGCCCTGGAGGATAACTTTGATGCCTAAACCTGTTAGGATAAGTGCCTGGAAAAATAGGTACTTGTTTCTCTTTGTGATGACAGCTTTCTTCATCTTAAAAAACAAACAAACATGAAAACAAACAACCCCCCCAACTTTTAAGATAACTTGGATGACACTTTCTGTAACTGCTTGTTTCCTTGAACTAATGCAGGACATCTTCTTTGGAAACAAATACAGCATCTAACAAAGGATCCCAGCTCCAAGTGGAGGATATGTGCCTCGGTACTATAACTGGAATTAGTTTTCAGGGACTTCAGGGTGGTAGGTAGTTTGCTGTATTAACCATACCCAAGAAAGCTTAACAAAATACCATGTGGCACAGAGCTTAAGACAGGGAATCTTTCCTATTCTTAGTTTTGTTTCAAACCAGTACCCATGTTATCTGTTGGAGAACACATACCTAATATGTTTTACAAGGAATTGGTTTGGTGTTGCTCCTTTTGATTCTTTGGGGTTGGTTCACTTAAACAGTAAGTTTTTCCAAACGCTAATTCTTTCTCTTTTGTGTGAGACCACTTTTCCTTCCTCCACTCCCCCGCAAAGGACATAAATCTCTTGGCAATTCAGTTTGACATTTATATTGTTTCTGCCAGTAAATACTGACATTTTAGATGCTTCTGTTATCTTCCTAGAATATTTCTAGTTCACTAGTATGTTTTTTTTTCTTCTGTAACTACTACCGAAAATTCTTTAGAAAACCATAAAAAACTAATCAGGATTCCTAAAATAATATTTGAAATACTTTATTCCTGGCTATTTGTCCCATCACAGTATAAATAAATGAATATGACTATTTATGATACCTTTCTGTCTTAAGGTGCTAACTCCTCAAAAATTAGAACTGCTAAAAGCACAAATACAGCAGGAATTGGAATCTCCTATGACAGAACGTTATCGGAAGCTAGAAAATGTAAGTAGTAAGTATTGAAATTCTATTTCATTTAGACTTTAGTAGTGGTCACCAGTTTGTAGTTGTTCCTAAGGCCTTAGGAAATTAAAACTGAAAGGGGAGCAAAGTATGACATTCTTTGTCTGGTACTGTTGCCCCAGGCAGTGAAGGCTGAAACCCTGGAAGAGGGAGAAAGAGGGATTCAGTTCATCAAATATAGCTTGTGAAATCATAGGAACATTGCATGGACATTTGAAGGAAATAAATCTGAAAACCTCTCTGACTGATGTTTTTGGGTTTTTTTGTCTAACTTAGGAAGTGGAAAAATACAGAGCAGAATATAACAAACTTCGTTATGAACATACTTTTCTGAAATCAGAATTTGAACATCAAAAGGAAGAACACGCACGTATTTTAGAAGAGAAGAAAATAAAATATGAGGCTGAGGTACCTAGTATGTTACAGTAGCTTAAAATGTGTCTGATGACAAAGCTTCTTGAACATTGTGAAAACGGTGGTACTTGATGGGGTGTCAGTTTGACACTATTTCATAATGTAGTGTTTGTTTCCGTTCTCTTAGTTCTCAAAACACTTTTATGACTTAGCCTAAAGCTGTCTCTGTAGGTTTGTGCCGTGATGTGTTGCAATATCATTTGTGCTGTTATAAGTAAGAATAGACTTGCCTCCTGATAAATGGCAGCCAGTAGCTTTGCGTAATGCTTTTTAAATCACATTTGTGATGGAATTTGAAACATTATGCTAATCTGAAATTAATAAATTATCTGAGCCACCGATGTAAGTTTAGATTTTGAATTACTTCTGTGGCAACTAATCCAGGAAGAAGGCAGCAGAAGATACTGTTAATACCAGACAAGGGTACTTTTTGCAACTAAGTTGGATCATGACAGTGGTGGTCAAAAAGATACTGAACACGTTGCTAACTTTATTTCAGTTGTATTAACTCTTGAATAAACCATTCATTATTTTTCTCTTTCAGAATTGGACTTTCAAAAGTGTAGCTAAATAAATTGCCAGCTTATTTATGTTTTAAATATATGCGGCAGTGTAAATGAGTGTTGCATATGTCATTTGCATATTCATTTAAGTATTTGTCTGGGAGCGTATATCCTAAGATGCCAGATTTGAATGTATTAGTCCAAACATGAGACACAAATCAAAGCAATCATCACTCTGAAAATCAATCCAAATTTGCAAATGCAATGCATTAAAAACAGAACAGTTGTCCTTCCCGGAGCTAAACCCACATGCTGCTTTACAGCCTGCCTCTCTTGTGGGCTTGTTGAGTTTGTGCTAGTCCTGCAGCTAATTAGCACACTTGCAGAGAATGAAACTACCTTGAGCCCAGAGTGCAATGTGATCTAGTTTCTCTCTCTTAGAGCCTTTTTAACCTTCCATGCCGTTTAGCATAAGGAGGCTACAAAACTATCCTAATGTTTAAATTATTGCTTGGGCATGTCATTTCCTTATAAAAGGGATTTGGAGGGCTTTTGCTGCAGAAATTGGCTTTGCTCCGTAGGGATCACTGATGCAACTTCTGCATTGCTGCGGATCAAAGTTTGGACTAGTCTCCAAATATCAGGAGAACTCTTACATACCTTACTTTCTTACTCTCTTGCCCCCAGTATTACATTCAGTCCACGTAACTAATTTTGAAACACAGGAATCTATTTATTTATAATGTGTTAGTTACAGTCTCAAGATTAGTTTGTACCTATTGTACTACCTTGTAAAAGAAAGGTTTTTTGTTTTAGTTTGGTTTGGTTTTTTTGCTTTATTTTGTCTTGACAGGGCCCAATCATGCTGTCTGTCTTGAGTTACTAGCAGATTTGAGTTCTTTTGCAGTTATATAATTGTGCAAAAAAAATGTGTAATATAAGTTGGAAGAGACATCCTTCTAGTCTAACATCCTGCTTAAAATATTGAAATGTAATGAGATCGGGTTGCTCAGGGCCAATATCCAGTTGGGTCTTGAACATCTGTGAGGATGGAGATTCTGCAAACTTTTTAGGCAAACTATACCAGTATTTAACCATTTTCATGGTAAACTTTTTTCCTAATATCTAATTGGAACTTCACATGTTTCAACTTGTGTCCATTGGCTCTCTTCCCATCACCATGCATCTCCTCTTCTCCAAGCTGAAGAGGCATTGTTCTCTCAGCCTGTCCTTATATGTCATGTTCCCGAACCCCCTGACCATCTTAGTGGCCATCCACTAGACTTGTTCCAGTTTGTTGTTATTCTTCATGTACTGGACATAATCTCCAGATGCAGTCTTACAAGCACTGGAATGGGACAAAGGATCACTTCCCTGAATCTGCTAGCTATCCTTCTGCCAGTCTGCCAGGATGCAGTTGGTCATCTTTGCTGCAGGGGTACTCTGCTCACTAGTGTTCAACTACTTGTCCACTAGGACCCCCAGATCCTTTTCCATGGAGCTGCTTCCCAGACTGTTGCCCCCAGCCTGTACTGTCACATTGTATTACTCCATCCCAGATGCACGACTTGCTCTTGTTGAAGAGGTTCCAGCCAGCCCATTCCAGTACAGATCCCTCTAATTAGCAGTTCTGCTTTCCAGCACGTTGACCATTCCTCCCCAGTTTGGTGTCACCTGCAAGCTTGCTGAAAGCGTACTCCATCCCATTTAGGTAACTAGCGAGGACATCAGTCAGTATTGGACCCTGTACTGATCTCAGAAAGACCCCACTAGTTACAGGCAGTAGGCTGGGCTTTACACCAGTGATCATCACTCTTTGAGCCTGGCAGCCCAACCAGTTTTTCACCCACTTCATCCACTTTTCCAGCCCGTACCTCACCAGTTTGGTGAGAGAGAAGATTATATGAGACTGTATCAAGGACCTTGTTAAAATCAAGGTATACAAGATCCACTGCTCTCCCCTTGTCTGCAGCACCAGTCACCTCGTTCTAGAAAGCAGAGCGGTAGGTCAGGCATGATTTGCCCTTGGTAAACTCTGCTTTCCATCACCTTGTCTTTCATGTGTTTAGAAACGTTTAAGAGGTTTTGCTTCATAACCTTCACAGAGACTGATGCGAAGCCGACTGTCCTGTAGTTATCTGGATCCTTCTTCTTGACCCTTTTATTCTTCTTGATGATGGGTGTGCTGTCTGTCTCTTCCCAGTTATCAGGAACCTTCTCTGATCACCATGACTTTTCAAAGATGAGACTAGCCTTGTGATGATACCTGTGAGCTCCTTCAAAATGCTTGGATCCATTCCAAGGACTTGTGTGTGTCCAGTGGATTAAATGATCCCTAACATTTTCTTCCTCTGCTCTGGCTACTGCTTTATTCCCACAGATTTCTAGGGGGTTCAGGGACATCTGAGGCTCGAGGACAAGCCTTATCAGTGAAAACTGAAGCAAAAAAGGCATTGAAGAATGGGTCTGTTGATTTTCTTACTCTAAGAAAGAAAATAAATGTGAATGTAACTTCTTAATATTTTAAATGCACACTGCTGCTCTTTCCTGAATTGTCAACTGCTGTGTTTGTTGCTGCCTGACACCTAACCCATGTAAAAGCTTTTCTTTTTCTGATTAACAAATATCAGATTGCAAGGCTGGATAAAGATAAAGAAGAACTCCATAATCAGCTGCTTAGCGTTGATCCCACGAGGGACAGTAAACGTGTGGAGGCACTCTCTAGAGAAAAGGCACAACTGTATCAGAAATTAAAAGGCTTAGAAGCAGAAGTAGCAGAACTAAGAGCAGAAAGAGACAATTGTGGTGTGCAAGCAGAAAATGTTCAAAGAGTACAAGTACGACAGTTAGCTGAGATGCAGGCTATGACAAGGTCTCTAGAGGTAAGATTCTTTTTTTAAATTTTGCTTCCTTGTAGAGTGTAGTGAGAATAACGCTTGGCCTGATAGAACTGTCACCAAAGCCAATGATAATTTTGCCATTGACTCCACAATTTGAATTTGTACATTTCAGATGTAAAAACAAATATTAAGTACATTGGGAGTCATCTACTGCCAATTCAACTTTGGAAAGGTGGGGAGTTCAACTGAGAGATTCTGTTGAATCATGTTCCTTTCCAAACACGCGAATGTGATCCATGTTTGCAGTCAGCAAGATGCACATGTCACTTGTCACTCAGCTGGAGTTAGAAACTGATGACAATATGTTAATAATCTGCTACAGTAAATTTTTTATTCTTTCCAAAAATGTCATATGATCCTCTCTATTTCTTTAATCCTTTCCTCGTGTGTCATTTTCTTTCTTGCCTACCTATGTCTCTCCTTTCTCCAACACGTTACTGCAGTTGTTTAGTTCTTGGCTGTCACTCTCCCTTAAAGAACGGTTGGTATTTCTGGCCTGTTGTATGTTTCCCAGGGTTCCACTGCATTCCTCATCTGTGGTCTTCAGTCCCGCTGTCAGTTCTTGCTGTCTCCCTAGTCCTTCCATGTAGATTTCCTGCACAGTTGCAGCATGCAGATAGATGGCTCAGTTTCCTTTTTACTGTTATCAGTGCTGTATACCTTTGTTACAAAATGCTCTGATCACAACTTTAAAAAGTGCTTTAATGTTCTTAATTTAGAAAACTTAGAAAAAAAAGTCCTTTTGGAAATAGGCCCGCTCGGAAAAAGGAAGGTGAAATAGTAGGTTAGATTACATTTTTGATACTTAATAAAGCTCGGGGTCTTGAGCCTATAATACAGTAATTGCATTTTATTTCCTCTCCATGATGTTAATTCTTCAGTTAGTATAACTGCATAGGCCAACATATTATATCTGTTTGAGCACCACTTATAGTCTTACTGGTGTTTACAGCCCAGGAATTTACTGGTAGGAATACCTGCTGTCTCCTAACCAAGTCAGATTACTTCTGCCTCTTGTGAAATAGGATTGAAAATGTGTGTGATTCAGTGCAGGCAGTGTTAGTAAAAAACTTTGTGACTTTTGAGTAAAATTCAAGACTGTTGTATTGGAGCATATTGTTAAGCAAAGATTAATATTTATATATTTATATTATTATATAATATAAAGTCAGGAATATCTGAAAGCCCAGATCAATTGAACCTTTCAAGTGAATAGCAAGAGACAGGCCTGGTTCAAAAATCTTACAAATACCTCCTTTATTTAAGGCAGAAAAGAAGTCTGCTGAACTACAGATTGATCGAATTGAGAAAGAACTGCGGATGAGTCATGAGCAAAACATTCTCTTAACTAGCAAACTTCACAAATCTGAACGAGAAGTCAGTTCCTTAGCTGCTAAAGTAAGTGCTTTCATGGTATCTGAAAAGCATTTTTCATGTCCTGTTATGTTTAAGTTTTTCTGTTTATATTTTACATTAAGAATAAAGTAACTGCCTTCTGCTGTGACTTAATGTAGGTTTGGAATTTTTTTCCCAGTTTCATTTGGAAGATATAGAACATATACAGGACAAGGGGTAATGGTTTTAAACTAAAAGAGGGTAGGTTTAGACTGGATATAAGGAAGAAATTCTTTACAGTGAGGGTAGTGAAACACTGGAACGGGTTGCCCAGAGAGGTAGTGGAGGCCCCATCCCTGGAAACATTCAAGGCCAGGTTGGATGGGGCTCTGAGCAATCTGATCTAGTTAGCAGTGTCCCTGCTCACTGCAGGGGGGTTGGACCAGATGACCTCTAGGGGTCCCTTCCAACCCGAAACGTTCTATGATTCTATTAACATGTGACTTTACAGGAAAAACGTCATCCCTGAAAGTATCTCTAAAGATTGAGGTTATGCTCTTTTTATTTAATTTTCTGTATCTTTTTTCTAGACAGAACAGGGTTTGAAGAGGTGTCTTTATATTCATGTTTTTAGTACTCATGAAAATAGCCAGCCTTATTTCATGGAAACAAGCATTACTTTTTCATAAAGCATGTAAAGCGCAATAGAGCTTTAAATTGATTTTTTTTTTCTTTTTTTTTTTTTTTTTTTCATGGAGCTATGGCTTCTGGAGATCTTAAAAAGTATCCTCTGGATGGGCTGTGTTAGCTACAGGAAGAAAACTGCATTGGAATCACCTGTGGAGATTTAGGGTATATTAGAAGCAGGATAGTCACATTAGCATAGCGCTCTTCTCGGACCAATGCCAGCATACCTTGTACAGAAACATTTCTGTACAGCACTGCATTGTATCATTTTAAGTAGATCATTGTCTTGCAACCTGTTGTGTATCTCAGTTGCTGGGTTGGCACCAGATCTTAGAGGTTTTGTTCTGTTTGTATGTTTGTTTTTTTTCTTTTTGAGATCTTAGAGACATTTCTAGAAAAATACGTAAGAAAAAAAAGATCAGAAGGCTTCAAGTTTAGGAAAAACCTGAAAGTGCTTGAGAAACTTGATATTACTGTTTAGTATTTCAGCATAATTAGGTTAGTATGGATGCCAGATTCAGAGTTTTGTCTGGATGCAGTGACTCCTCAGCTTCACAACTTAAAGACAGATGCTTTATGCAGTTTCGTATGTGATTATTTGAATAAATGAGAAAAATGAAACATTAGTAAACCAATTTACCTTCAAATGTTGCAGAATACTTACATTCCTTAATGTAAATTTGAGTCAGGATACTAGTCCGAATGAAATAGTTACTTGGATAAATATTAGCTTTTTACTGCCCCTTATTCCCTCCTTTCTGGAGAGAATACTGGATAATGAATTTTTATCGCATCTGTCATTCCTGGTAGCAAATTTAATCCCCAGTGTCGTGTTACCTTTCTGGAGAGGCTTTAGTTAGTTCAGAACTAACTGTAAAGCCAGTAACTTTGGTCTTGCATATCTAGCTGAATGCAAAATTAATTTAAGCTCTCTGTTGACTTAAAGGTATCCTGTGTTTCTGAATATACTTTCCAAAATAACACTGACATGCGCTTTGTATGGGTACAGAAGTTAATATTGTCATAATATGCCTCAAGAAAGATTACGAAGAAAACTTTAACTTTTACCATAGTTGTTCTTCAGAAATCTCAGATTTAATTCAAAATGGGCTTTACAGTGCACATTTATGTGTGAAGTATTTCATTTTCGTCCTTAACCCAAAAAAATTCTAATTTACTGTAAAAATAGGATATACCTATACCAGTATTTAAAGCCTCTTTATACAATGTGTCATACTTGTCTCACACGAGTAATAAATGAGGGGGAAAATTCTGTTAAACATTTTTTAATCAATTGTCTATTGGAATATACAGCAGGTTGTTACAGTCCTTACGTTTTGTATCGACTGGTGTTCTCTGCTCACCTCCAGAAATAGGAGAAAATTAAAATGTTCAGCGGTGTTTCTTGAAGGGAGAAAAGTAGAAACTAATTTCCATACTAACCTCCACCCCCTTCTGCACCCACTCAAGCTTGTTCCTGAGCACAGGTGCACGCATGTGTCTTCTGGATTTTGTGCCTTAAAAAAGCCACCTTAAATCTTTGCAAGTTGCCCGAAATGTTCTCAACTTAGTATTTAAGCAACCAAATCCACCGTGTAGTTACTTAATAAGCTACTATGTCATTCTTAACCTTTTGCCACTTGTATATCCTAGCAGGTTGTAATTACATTTGTCATTGTGAATGGATTTTCATTATAAGTGCTTTCCTCTAGATATTTAATTCTCATTGACCGTGTAATTACTGTGTACAAATGCCTAAACTATAGAAAGTTTCCATGCAAGCAGTAATTGTCTTTGATTTGATGTTCTTAAAGCTCCTGCTTTTATGAGGCCATTTGATGTGTATGTCACAGTTGTAGAGATGCATTTGATTTAAAATGCACTTTAAAATTATGAAGACCTGGATTTTGAGGAAGTAGTGTAGCACTCCAGGAGGTCAGGGGAACTGTAAGTAGTTATATTGGAAATATAAACTGAGCTCTCTGTTAACTTAAAGCTATCCTGCGTTTATGAATATACTTCTCAAAATAACAGTGACATGTGCTTTTCACACTATTTAAAATTACTTGGAGGAGTAATTGATAATCTGGGTTTGCATACCTGCAAACTGCTTGTTTTACTTGGGGAGATTAAATTTAATTTTATTTTAGCTTGACTCTGAGGGATCTTTAGTCAGAAGTGAAGTATGCGTAAACTGACATGCTAATGCTTGAGTTAGCAATGCATCGGGGTCTTATGCAATTTGGATCAGTGTTATAGCAAGATATTTCCAATGAGTAGTCCTTTAAGAAATACCCCAATATTTGGAGCCTGGCTTCTAGAATGTATAGTATTTACTCAGAAACCAAGTTTTCACAGGCAGTCCTGCAGATCTGTGCATATATCATCAAGGCTTCATAAAGAGAGTAACTTTTCTACACTGCAGCTTGTAATAACTGGCTGGTTAGAGATTAAATACATGTCAATAGTCAGACAGCCGGGTTCCTGGAATATATGTTGTGTTTGAGCACAAGGAACATATAAAACTTGCATTTCAAGATGACTGGCAGCTCATTCAGTAATCTTCAGTGTGTGACTTGAGGAATTGATAAAAACCTGTAATAGCACTGATTATGATTTGGGGAATTGGATCACGTCAATAGCTTTAGTGTTACGGTATCTATATAATCACCATTAAAAATCATCTACAAGACTGGATATTCTCAATGGGCTTCAGGAAAGCAGTGGATGAAAAAAATATTTAAGGTATGTTTAAAATAAGTGCAGTCCATGATTATTTGGCAGATTTTCTTGTTAGCAAAGTATCACATGAAAAACTTACAGTAAAGCTGCGAATATATATATTTATTTTAGTTGATTTGTTGGGTTTTTTTTCCTAATTCATAGGTAGAAGAACTTAAACATTCACATAAACTGGAAGTAACAAATGTCAAACTGGAGGCAGCAAGAACAAAGAGTGAGGTAGAAAGAGAGAGAAACAAGATTCAAAGTGAAATGGATGGTAAAATGTGCAATTAAATTCTAATGATTTCTTTTGTAGCTTCTAGTTAGAATACTACAATTATTTTCCCTCCAAACATTCCCCAGCAGCCTTCACCTTCTACTTCTGGTCTAGGTCGTGGATCTGACAATTCATTTTGTGTCTGAAATAACTATATTGTTTCACTTGGTCTGCTAGGTTAAGAACAGTTAGACAACGATTTTGCGTTTATGTAAAGTAGTGAATTTGTGACACAATTTGAGCATAATCTGATTCGAATCATGTGCTTCATATGGTGGGTTTTTTTTTTCTATTATTGCCAAATTCTAGTCTTTCACGCTGCTTGAAACCTTAACGTACCATAGGGCTTCAGTGGTTGCCTTGTTTTCTAATTCTCTGTCCGTGGAATTGATAATAACTGGGTAAGGCTGCCATGTGAAACAAAATACAATTTTGAGCTTATTCTTTGAAGAAAATAGGCAATCTTCTAAGCTACCTAATACAGCTGAGTATGTAGGCAACTTGAAATAGCTTTCTAGAGTGAAAAGGCCAAAGCTTTCTAGTACTGGTTATGTGCTAATGATTTAAATCACTACACAGCTTTTAAGTAGACTGTCCTCACCAGTTTGCCATAGCCCCAAAATAGTACCTTTGTCTTCCTGCAATAGTTGTTTCTGTTCACTTGCTCCAATATTAAGTTCTCTAAGAGCAACTTAAAAGTGGTCTTTTCTGTATCGACAATGCATTTACAGTATATTGTGAACTAAAAATGTTGGACCCTATGAAATAGGAAGCTAGATACAGACAAGATGTAAGCTAACCTGAACTTGCTGTGGAATCCAGTTTGCATCACTGAATTAGCTAAATAACCAGGAGTCATTGTTATAGCGTGTTGGCTTATTTGCCAGTGAACACAGGTGTCTCGGTCACAGATTTTTAATTTGCATCTTTTGTCCCTGCCTAAAGAGTCATAATTTTCAGATTGCCTCATTTGGTGATATGAGTGGATTAAAATGTGAGATTTGTTGTGGCCAGGTTACTATAATTTCACTAGTAACCGGTTACTGCTTTTTACCATAATCTTTTCCGTAAAAAGAAAATAACAAACCTTCTTGCTTGACTTTTTGTAGCTATCGTGGAGCACTATTTTATAAAAAACCAGAAACAACTGCTTATCAGAAATTGCTTTAGAGTTTAAATATGTAATAATATCAACTGTTTAATTACTTTTGTATGTTAATACACCCTGTAGACAGAGATTCCAGTGTAACGGTTACCCTTCAAAAGTTTTTGAAGTGTTGCTGTTATACTAAGAAAGGCCACGTCTCTTCTGGTTTTCTTGGGTTTTTTTCCCATTCATTCTATCATGTGAATTGTGATTTTTTTTTTTTAGCTCCCTTTTATCAATTTATAAAGTTATTTTAATACTGGATTTCATCAGGTTGATATCAGTAATGACATTTTAACTTTTTTTAATGTATAATGCAGGATTGCTGTCAGACAAGGAAATTCTTAAGGCAGCTGTTGAACGTCATAAGGTGCTTTTAGTAGAAAAGGATCGGGAGCTAATTCGTAAAGTGCAAGCTGCCAAAGAGGAAGTTTTTGAAAAAATTGCAGCCTTACAGGATGAAAAGTATGTTCGTTGATTTACTGCTCAACTTCTAAAGAGGACTGTTTTGAGTAACTTTAAAAAAAATGTCATTCTTAATAACTAAACACTTGTGGCATTTTTTTGTGATTCGTGTCTGCATGTTGAATAATGTCTTAGGTTAGAACTCGAGAACAGAGTAGCTGATCTAGAGAAGATGAAATTGGAACAAGATACTTGGAGACAATCTGAAAAGGATCAGTATGAAGAGAAACTACGTGTTGTACAGATGGCAGAAGAGTCTAGCAAAAAGGAACTTCAGCGTTTGCGGTAGTGTGGCTTTTCTAACCTTAACACAAATTTCTCGTTTTTTCCCCCCCTAATTTCTTTACAGTAGTTAGTATAAAAGTTTACTATTCATATTCGTTATGGTAAATTAAACAAAATTATCTTTTGCACTGTGTAAATAAAGGGCAGAATTAAAAGTGTGCTGTTTACAAAAAATAACATTTTTCATCCAAACCTTTAAAAATGATATCATTTTAATGAACGTTTTTGGACATAGTTTTGCAAATACTCATGTTTGTTAAAATGGGGCCCATACTTGCTGCTGGTGTAGCCCCAGTGTTAGAGTAAACCATTTCTCTTTCCATGATGGCATCATATCAGCAACTGGCAAACTGGGACCCTAGTACAATATCTCTTCGAGCTGGTTGTTGTAGTTGTCAGTGAAGTTGTTTTACTATAGTATTTGTATGAAGGTCAGTATGATAAAATGAACAAAAGTCATACTCCAAAAGCAAACAAATCCATGTATTTCTTACTCCCAGATGCATTGTAATAATCAATAAAAATCTATTTTTAATCATTGTTTAGTTAAATATTTATCACCCTTTCAAATTATGCAATATATTTTATTGTCAGACTGATTTGTCCTAACTTCTAAAATCTATATTTTAATTAGATAAAAATAAGATTGTCTTATACAATTTTAGATTAAAAATTCAACAGCAAGCTATTCAGACAGAGGAGCTGGAAGAAAAGAAACGTGAAAGTGCTGATCTGAAGCAGGTACGGTTTTATTGCGTTGTAATGCTATGTAGAGAAATACAGTCTTTCCTGCAGTTACCATGTCCAGTGTTTGAAGATTCCATTGAATTTTAAGGCTCTTTTTTTCCAAAGTGACAAAATGCATACAACAGATATTTAAAAGTGAAAGTGTTCAGAAATCAGTCATGCTTTCCTGGATCTTTATAGATGGATTACAGCTTTTTGCTTCATGCGTATGGCGGGTACCAAGGATTTCAAAGCTGAAGGTTTATAGACTGGTATATTGAATACGGTTATGCACTATTTAACTGGAGATTCAGTTTCCATGGAGACTTATAAATTGTTTCTAGGTAATGCTTTGCATTTACACTGCATCTCTCATCTGAGGTTCTTCAAGTGCTTAACAGACGTTTCATAAATGAATAAACTAGTGTAGAGAGGTATATTTCTATTGCAGAGTGAATTGATGGCAGTGTTGAAAATAAAACCCAATTCTTTTAACTCCTGCTCGCCCACAATGTTATATTTAGTAGGTAAGAACATAGTGGTGCATCCAAGTAGTCTGCAAGCTGTGCGCTCTTGAAGTTTGAGGCAATATTTGGTTTTCCTCCAGAAATTGGGAAGTGGGATATGTGAGTGTGCGTGTGGGGAGAGGAAAAGGAAAGGGAAATTGGCCTTTCCACGTGCTGCTGGCTGCAGAGGTTGGGCTTTTCAGACCCTATGCTCGCTTGTTTTTGTGAACTGGTTGGTACAGCAACTGCGGGCTGTAGTGCATTGTGAGAGGGAAGAGTCTGGGTAGCTCCACAGCTCACCTACTAAACATTGTGTGGTGCTCTAGTTCTTGTTCAGCCCTGGGGCTTGATGTCAGATTTCTTAAGTTCTGGGGGACATCGACGACTGAAGACTCCTGCCTCCCTTTCTCTTTTTCATTTTAACTACAATAGATGACCTTCCTTGTCTAGTAGTGATGTGTACTGTAAAGCTTCTGGAGAAGCTGTTGAGTAAGGAGTAAAGGAACGGAGTAAAGAAAGGCTTACGAAAAGCCAGGTGGTGTCTGCATTTTGCTCTGTCTCAGTATTTCAAAACTGGTTTCGTTATTTGCATACCTTCTCAAATGGAAAAAATTCATTTCTTTATAGCAAATGCACGACATGCAACTCCAACTTGCCTCACTTTCTCAATCAGAAAATGATTTACTGGAGTCTAATCAGAAGCTGAAGGAAATAATAGAAAGATTGAAACAAGAATGTCAACATGCAAGGACTCAGGCAGAAAAAGCTCAGCTGGAAACAGAGAAGTAATTTTTTTCTTCTTTTTGGCTTTACTTTTTATATTGCTTGTATTCCTTTCTCATGGATTAATTACTGTCGATTGTAGATTTGAATAAAGTCTGAAATTAAAAATGGACAGGAAATGTTGGACAACTGTAAAAAATGGCTATACCTTCTGTTATGCTTGTGGTAACTTCAAAAATAGGAGTTTGTTTCCGTTCATGTCTGTTACAGTTCTTGACTAGTGAAATACACATTTTTTTTTTTTATAAAATTAGATCCTATTTATATTGAAGTGGATCCAGAGTTTCACACACAGTTCTTTTAAGAGTGTTTAAGCTTTGAGAAGGTTTCAGGGACCCAGTCTGTATATGTGGATATAATTTTTTTCCCTTCCCACTAGATCCTTTGAGCTCATATGAGGCAAAAAAAAAGCTTATTGGATATCTTCTAGTTCCTCTCATCAAAATTAAAAATAATCACTTTCCTTTTTTGCATGAGCTTGACCACATACAATCAAAATATGGTAATAAATGCTGAAGGAAACCCAACCTTGTTCAGAGCCCATACAGTAATGAACACTTTCCTAGAATTTAAAGATTAATTTATCAGTCTAGGAAATATTAGGTAGCCATTTCAGACTAATAAACAAATACATGTCTAATTCTTACTGGATGAATGTTGTGGGTTTTTAAAAAAGTCAGCATCCTGGATTAAATAGAAAACTTCCAAGAGGTATAATGTGGCATTTTTTTAACTTTGCTACAAATTGGTACTGCATTTGTTGCTTTGTCATTAGTTTGAGTACTGCTTTTCAGTTTAACATTTGAAGAAATTATTGCATTAGGACTGCATCAGTTGTCAGTAGCACGTTAAATACTTCGGGTGTTTACTTTAGGAAGGTTTATTCCTATTTTGAGTGAGATTGTCACTGTTATTTGAGTGGGACTGTCAGGGTCACTTATGTATTTGTGGTCCATAGACCAGTTAAGAGTAGGTTTTCCTGGGAAGACAGTGGAAGGATCTTGGCAGTCCTCAGAGATTGTTGTGTAAGTATGTAGATAACGGGCGATGCACCAAGGCTGATACTGCAGAAGTTAGGCAGCTTTGCAGCCTACATGTAAGCCCTCCAAGCCTGTCCTACTGTTACCCTGGGAGCTCTGGGACGTGTTTCCATTCTTTTTCTGACTCTGTGGGTGTTTGGACTTCCTTCCTCAGTTCAGTAGTTCTTACAAGCTTGAACTCCAAGAGTTAAGTTGCACCAAAGCAACTTGGCTTAAAGAGGAAGTGACGTAAGGACCAAAAGATAAGAAAGCCCGAGATAAAAAGTTTCAGATAAATATAATAATGCCAGTTGAGCCGTAAGTAGGCAAAGTAGCTGCCTGCCTGGCTGTGTCAATCTTAGGTTTGGAAATGAAAATTTGAGATGAGAAAAAGGGCTGAAGGCAAACTATGAGACTGATACAGATCAGAGATGAGCTCAGACAGGCACTTGTTAAGCATTTCAGGAACAGCGTTAGTGGCATTTAAAAAAACCCAACAAACTCATGGCATTTTTAAGCACCGTCTCAGCTGAAATTCTTTCACTGCTAAGCAGTGCTTTTCAAGAAAGCTCTTTGGTTCCTGGGTAGTAGTAGTTATTTACAGTCAACAGCAAGGTACAAACCACACTGGGTCTACTAAAAGAACTGTGATGGGTACCAAGTGGGCCAGGATCCTGGTTCTGCTATGAGAGTGGACAACTCCTAACGCTTCTGCTGTGGGGAAGGGACAGGCTGTTGGGTGAGGAATTTATGGAGATTCATTCCCTGTAGGGAAGCTGCATCAGCCCAGGACTGGAGCGGTATGGGTGCACTGATGCCAAGCCTTGGACTGCATTTTTTACAAACTGCTGCACAGAGTCTCACCATTTGGTTTTTGTAGAGTAATGTTGTTAAATATGCAGTTGGTTCTCCTCTACTTTGACCACAATGCGGATAGCCCAAACAAACAAGGCCGCAGGAAGAAACTGGCTCCTTTTCTATCCGCTGCTAGAGAACGCAGCCTAATTTTAGTGTGTTTTAACCATGCAAAGGCTTAAACAGATAACGTATGTTGGTGGTGGTGTATGCTCAGCTGGAATGTTGTCTAGGAACTGTATCAGTGGGAGCTTCCTGTTGTGTTGGCGTTTGTTCTGGTCGGGAGCACACACCAGTGAAACCTGTACTTCGCTGTTACTAAGGCGGAGGAGACCGCACAGGGCAGCAATCTATTCTCTTACACCTTACCTCCCAAACAGAGCAGGCAGTTGTCAGCTCCTCTGACAACTGATGTTGCATAGGTGTCTACCATTGTGTTCCAGTGTGATTATTTGATCTAAATTTAAATTTTTCCTGCAGTTAACTGGCTTATTGGAATCAGTTTTCAAAATTGACCTCATAGTTGAACAAAACCTAGGATGATGTTAATGCACAGGTTCAATTTTGGTGACTCTTAGGCACAATCAAATTTAAATCAGATGCTTCGAGTATATAAAGGTAGGAGCTGTGAAAAGATGCTTCTATTTTAAGAGCCTTGAGGCATTAATCGAATGCACTGCTTTGTCTCTATAACCTCCTTTACCTGATTTTTTCAAAGGACTTTAGAATACAAACGAATAGAGTGGCTGGAGGAGAAGCACGTGCTTACCCAGCGCATTACAGAGCTAGAAGAGAAATACAACCAAGTGAAGAACAAGCTATGTCGAGCTGCTGTCGCTCAGAAAAAGGCACGTTGACTCTTCCTTTATGAATGACCCAGCCTGTGGAAAGTTCAGCTTTCCTTTGGCCAGCTAGAATTGTTTTATTATTAGGAGTTTATTTGCAATCTGCTGAATATAGTAACAAAATGCATCGGTTCTTCAAGATTAGCATAGAAATAGATTGAAGTGATATGAAGAAGAATATTACAGCCAACAACTCTGTTATAATGCCATCAAAGATTTTGTGCGGCTTTTTGTGTGTGTGTGTGTATGGTTATTTAAGAGGTGGACTCCTTGATTAGTAAGGATAATGTTTTGGATACCAGACAAATGATGTTCTTCTTTTCCTTAATGGAATATTAAAATTTTCTATCTTCTCCTAAGCTTGCTTTTTATGAAATAACTTGAAAGGAAAAGCTGATTAAATATTTATAAAAGCTCAAGCTTAATTGGCAGCTTTATACATTGGGCATATACAGGTTATGAAACCTACCAGTAGCTTTTAAGATTGTTAAAAGTTGAGGTCAACATGAGCAAAAAACCAAAAACCTACTTTTTTGGGGGCCATGTTTATACTTATTTATATGTGGTCATTTAAAGAATGAATTTTGTACCTCTCAAATACAGTTAGTGTTTGTTAGTAGCACGAGGCACTGACCAGCGAGTGACTGACAGCTGTGCGTCTTTCAGTCGCAGCTGTGGATCACTTCCCATCTCTCTTGGTTCCCATCATGGGATTCAGAACCTTCAAACTTCTTCTTAAGGAAGGAAAATCCTAAAAACTGTCGCAGCTTTGAAACCCTACGCAATGTAGATTTAATTTTTACAGGATCGAGTCTATCAAGGCATTACCCAGCTCTGTTTGAAATGTCTGTTTGACAGAGAAAGACTCTCACTGATAATAAACAACGGAGGATGCAAGAGAAGCTAGAACTTCTGGAAGCCAAGATAGAAGAGCTGGAAAAAGAAAATCAGGTGCTAAATAGGTAATAAACTTTGCTTTTTCTTGGCTTGAAAAACGATACATACCAAGACAGGACTTACACACGTGAAGTGATTTTGAAGACAGGTGACAGTTCAGTAACTGGAGTCCAATCTAATGACATTTTCAGCAGTAGAATTCTTTGAAGGGAGTCCATTTAGGATGGACAGCTAAGAGTTTCTGAGACAACCGCAGGGCTGTCTCTTCAGGAAGAAATGGAGGAAAGATAGCTGGTAACGCCGTTGCAGGAATCCCTTCAAAAGAAGGAAGTGTGTTTAAAAAAAAAAAAAAAAAAAAAAAAAAAAAGGAGGTGTGGCAGTGAAGCAGTGTTAAAAGTACAGCATATGAAAAATAAATGGGAGATGAAAACAAAAGACTTTGGAGAATTGCAGGAGAAACAGACTTAGCATCCTCTTTGAAAGACAAACTCCTATTTTTTTTTTTCTCTTCATTGAGTACCTATGGAGGGTTTGATTCGAATAATTAATTTAATGTGGTTCCTGTGGCTCACTACTGTGAATGCTATTAAAAGCTTAATTTATTCCATGTAAATTCTAATCTGTAACACAGCAGAGAGCTTAATGTGTAGAGGGACTTTCAGGTAGACATTTAGGCAGAAGAATATACACAGCTCTCCCACCTTCCAGTCTTCCTGGTATGTAGTTTTCCTTCGTAGGCATAATAAGCAGCAGACTACTTGTGGAGAAGTACGCTGCTGTGTTGGGACAATAAGGATTTTGAGCAGTAAGAAACCTCTTATTTCCTAGGCAGAACGTTTCCTATGAGGAATATGCACGCCTCCAGAAGAGACTGAAGGACCTGCAGCGTAGGCACAATGAATTCCGGAGTTTAATTCTGAATCCTAACATGCCGTCGCTCAATCCAGTCAGTACAGTGTCATCATCTGCCGTGCCTCCCAGGCCTGAAGTGTCCTTCCCCCTTCTGCAGGTGGTGATGTATTACGATTTGTGAAAATAATACAGCAAAAGAGGGTAACTGGCACAGTCCTTCATCACAGACCTTAGCCTTAAGGAAGGAGTGTTTGATCTTTGAAGAGAGGAAGGGAACTCTGAGGAATCTTCTAGTGACGTTCCCTTCCTTGCAATGGGAGGGACTTCTTGAAAGACGAATGATACGTTACAGAATATAGCAAGCGGGCAGTTTTAACCTGGTTCTCCGTACTTTGCCCCTCTCCTGAGAGGCTTCAAATGGCTCCTTCTGGGCTAGGAACATCATAATGGTGTTCTTGCAATGTGGTTTCGTTATTAAAAAGCAGTATTGCTGCTCTCGATTTCTTGTGTGGTTAAAAGAGTTTTACTTGCTCTGATGAGCTGCTGAGGGTGAAAATCTCTCCGGCTGAGGTTGACCAGGCTGACTTTACAGATTCGTGGTAACCGAGACCTCTGGTCTGCGTGCCTCTTCCTCTGAGGGGAGGAACGCCTGCACGCGTATTTCGTGCTGATGCAAGACGATGAACATCATTGTGAAATGTCAGAACAATACCCACAAAACATTGAGGAGTCATATGTAACAAATAAGGGCATTTTGGACTTCACAATTTTTATTTTGAAATAGTTAATCAAAGAAAATGAAATTATTGCTCATTTTGGTCCCTTCTAAGTGTGACAAATGTAATAGAGCCTTTTTTTTTTTTTTTTTTTTTTTTTTTAAGTTTCAAGGAGGAACAGCATCAGAGAGAGCTTTCCCTGCTTCGCAAGCGGTTGGAAGAACTGGAAACCACCCAGAGAAAACAGCTGCAAGACCTTGGACCATCCAGAGAGCGCCTAACGGTGGGCGCTCACAGGGACTTGGCTAGAAACAGGATGGCTGGGGAAGGCGACGCGCAGAGTGAGGGCTCCCAATGAATCTGCAAACTCCCCACGCTGTTACTCTTCGGTAGCTTATTCTTTGGACGTGCTTTTAATATTTTGCCAAAAATGCGCTTGTATGTGCCTGAATAGCATAAAATATATTCCGCATAGTTTTGTGTTTATTTTCGATAGACTGGCATAAATTATCGAACAAAAGCACCGGAAGATTCACTACATTTTTTAAATGGTTTTATGTAAAGGATGTAAAATTATTTGGAAGCCAAAACATATGAAATAATCTCATCACACGAAACTTTAAAAGGACATGTATCAAGGTTTGGGTTGTGATGACATTTAAAATAAAAATTAAAATCAAATATTTTGGATAAACCTTTGGAAACCTGGTAACATCTTCCTACTCCTTCCATGTAGAAGTTAGGGCATCGGTGTGGTGTTTTGCGGGGTTGCTGCTTTGATTGTTAACGATGCTGCAATCCTTACTTGGAAGTTCCCATGCAGACAGAGAGGATGAAATTAAATTAAATGGAAAAAGTGCTGAAAACTTTTATTTGCTACCCCTGGCGATGTGCCTTGGGTGTTTTGTAACGGGAATAGGCAATAATCGGGTTTTTTAATAGAACGTAGTAGAGAGGAAGTATAACAAATTGCCTTCACATTATGAAAATGTAAGTTTGTATTTGTTGGTACTGTAATTTGTTTACTTAACTACAATAAAATTATTTATTCAAGGTTGAATATATTTACTTAAAACTTTTTTTTTTTTTTGTTTCCCCTCCATTACCAATTTAGTAACAGAAACTTGTAAAGGATCAATTCATTTTTTTGACTCAATAGTGAAAACTTTCTTGGAAGCGTAGGAATAATTTTACCTGGTGTGTGTGTGTTTGTTTTTTTCCAAAATACTGCAGCGACAGTATGAGACAGAGAGCTACCCAGCGCAATTTCTTTTTATAGCGTATTCGGTGTTGTAATTAGACTGTGGTGCTAGACAACTGAGTAACTACCTTGCGCACGGTGACATCGTCACTGATGCAACTTTTCTCTCCAGAGGCTGCATTTTTGGTTTCCCATACGCTGGGTGAGTTGGGATCGCACTGCGCTTCCCTGGGGAAGGGCCAGGAGCAGCAGAAGCCGCGCCTGCCCAAGGTAAGGTCCACCGAGCTTTGCCTGGGTCTGGTGGCTGCGAAGGGCTGGCTCTGGCCGGGGGCTCCCCGCTTATGCGGCCTCCAGCCGGGCTTTCAGCTGGGGCCGGGGGCAGGAAGCCTCGAGGGTGGAAGCAGGGTAAGAGGGGAGGACGACTGAGGGCCAGCTACTGGGCGGTGGGCTCCCTTCCCAGGCCCCCTGGGGC